TTTTAAAGACAAACAAAAATATAATAGATAAATATATATGCCACCATTTTGAGAACCTTATCACTAGATTATATTAAAATATGGGCATCCGAATGACTTTGTTATGATATCATTTGCATTGTAAACAAAAGTGTCATATTGTCTTAACCTCCAGTGGTACATTAGTCTCAAAACAACAGTTACATGCCATTAGAATATTTTTAACTCAGTGATCTCCCCAGGATTAAAGCAAGTGGGCGCAGCATCAATCTTTACAAACAAGCTTGCACCCACTTGAAAATCTATTTGCACCTACTTGAACAATGAACACGAGAAAAATCAAGGAATATGTATTGGCATATTTTGACCAATTTCGAGCTGAATTGAGAAAATGAGAATTTTGCACCCACTTGAGAAAATATCCTGTGGAGATCACTGCTACTGTAAAGGGACAACAATAAAATATCATATTATCAGAGGTAAAATATGTTGGCCTATAGTTCATTAAGACTTGGCAATAGACTGTTATTTTCATGTACATGTAGGTTCACAGTTTGGCAATACTATACCTTATGGAGGTGATTATAGCTATCTTCACTTATCTACACAGGTAGATTTACTTATGCTCAAGTAAGTACAGCATATAACAAAATAGGTGCATCTGTTTCTGTTGTATCTGTCTACAGTGAAAGCTTGTAAGATGGTCAGAGTGAGCAACTGTCCATGTCTAAAAAGCCACATTACTTATTAAACTCACTGTACCTTAACAGGGAAACTTGGATATCTATTAATACAAAATATACATCAATCTAAATTCTCAGTTTCGATTGGTTGAAAAAAGGTCAATAGTTTCGAGAATTGACTGCATGATTCTCTACTTGTTACCTGTATTTTGGGATTCCACTAAAACATGACTTCACAAATACGAAACGTTGATAGTCTGAAAATATAACATTTACGTCCTCAATACGAAACTTTTATAGTTTTGGGTCGTTCATGGTAAACATATATACATATAAATCAATTATCTTATAAGTTGTATCAATGACTGTGGCCAGATATTATATGATATAGTTGTAAAGAGTACAAGAATGTTTATAAGGTCATTACCAAGGCATACTCTAAATTTCAAATAAATTCTGAACTAGATAACGGCAACTCCGCGGAGTAGCAAATCCCAACGAACAAAATATCAATTACCGAATTCCAATCAATTATACTCATTACTTTGGTTGAAAATGAAAAAATTAGATTTTAGAATTGCGAATTCCTGCAAAGCAGCCATTTTGAATTTTCTGAGGTACAAATCTGAAAAATAATACCATAATTGTGATCTACTCCAAAATTCCTTCAATTTGAGTATAATATAGCCATACTTTGAAGGGATCGAAAAATTATTGCGAAATCGTACATTAGACGGCCATTTTGAATTTTACGAGGCTCGAATCAGAAAAAAGATACAATATTTGCAATCTACTCTAATTGCCTTTCATTTGAGTATAATAAAGCTATACTTCAGAAAGATCTAAAAATAAGCGAAAATTTCTGTTTTCCTGTCCCCCCATACATGGCCCCTGGGGGTCAGGATGAAAAACACGGAATATATGTGAAATAGATATATGTTGTGAATACACTACCAAAATTTCAAACAATAATTTAATTACTTTGGTTTAGAATGAAAAATTTATGATTTTTGCGAAAAAGTCCCGTCATTTTTAAAGCGGCGGCCATCTTGAAGAAATTTTTTTTTGCGTAAAACTATTCACCAATATACATCTTTCCACTAAATATGAAGAAAATCTGTCAACTAGTATTTGATTTATCTTCCGGACAGACGGACGGACTGACTGACTGACTGACGGACGGACGGACGGAGGGCTTCACTATATCCCTAACGAACTTCGTTCGTTGGGATGATTAACCACAATTCAGCTAAAACATCAAGGTGGGTCAATAGAAGACTAAAGGTCTATTAGAAATTCAATGTCAACAAACTCAGAAAATTTATACAAGGATAAAGGTCAATTTAAAATTTAAAAAAACCATCATAATATGAACGACAAACGTCTCATATAATATATATTTTGGTTACTTTTCAACATACAGTCTTTCTTATACTGTCAAACCAACTTGTATTCCTACGGTAATATGTGATATCATAATGTTGTTAAATGTAATAGCTTGAAGAGGAACACAGTATTGCTGCCACAATGAGTAAATCAACATTATATCATGTTTCATCTCACCCACTGCTTTAAACCTGTCTCCTTAAGGAGAAGAATCTGATCTGACAGATCTCCCTTAATAGAGAGATAATTATTTAGCTTGTAGGTTCCATTCTATTAGCTTGAGATAAGTCAATAGCCTGTGGGTTCCATCCGAAAAGTATGTCAATTAATCGACATATCTTGAGATAACAAGGCCCAATAATATTTTGATTTATCATTATAACATCAGAAAGTTATCATATTTATGTGTAGCAATATCTTCGATAGTGACAGGGTACTTCACACAATTATTTCAGCCAAAGTACAAGTTTAAACATCAGTGACATGATCCCACTGTTGACTAATTATTACTTATCTCATATGTATGCATTTCTTTAGCAACCGAAAAGGGTAAAGGGCCATTCAGTATAATTTTAAACCTGTTTTATAACCTGTGATTGAATGCCATAAAGATAAAAAGTAAAAGAGGCAATTTGTATCAAGTGTAAAATCAATATGGCTGAGGATTGATAATTGCAAATTCAATCTTGACATTTACACAATAGTGTCAGAAACAGATAATACTTGACCCACATTGTCTTCATGATCAGATTACATGCATAACATCGCTAAAAGACCCCATACCATCTAAAAATATAACTACCGTATTCTCTGTAATTACCGCCCACTCTCTAATAAGCGCCCACCCCGCTTCACAAAGTTCAAGAAACATCGAGGAATCAACAAGAATTGAAGAATATATCAGGAAAAAAATATTTCTCAAAATCCAGGAGCGGGCGATAATAGAGTACTTACCCTAAAACTGCTGTAAACATGACGCGTTTTGTAATTCTATGCATCCTCTCGATACATATCTATCGATGGGTGCTTCCAAAACCATACCATGCTAATATTGTCTCCAAATAGTCCATAATGAATGAAGGAATTGTTCTTTATCGGCATTCAGAAATTTCAAAAGCTACTGCGCAGATGTTCTGCGCATGTCAAGGTTGTGAACTTTCTGGTTTCCTTTTAATGTTTCTCGACTTTTACACGACTTTTGCACGAATAATGATGATCTCTCATCAAATTAGAAATAATGTATAACTTTAGATCGATATCCAGCAGTCTCTAGTGGAAATATTGAAGGTAATCGGCGAAAATGACAAAGTGGGCGTGCCGGAAATAAATTAGACATAGACGGGTCTTCAACCACTGTCAATATTGTCTAAGCGATCTTTACCGTATTCTCTCCAATAACAGCACTTGTCATATTATTATAAAAATATGTTGAAGAAAATGCATTCTTGTCAAGAAAAATTGCCATACATGAAATTCCTCGGGATTTCTGATTTCTTTCATACATGGGCGCTTATTAGAATGGTCTAAATAATGTATTTTCAATTTTCTAAACGCCCTGGGCGCTAATTACAGAGAATACGGTAAGCTGTTCTAATTAGGTAGAAGATCATAGATAGACTTTCCTGGAATTATTTAGATCTTTGTAAATCATGAACTGCCTCAAGGAAGAGGTGGTGGGTGGGGCTTTTTGGTTCAGTTTTGATGGCACTGCCAGCGCGATCTGAGATTACACAAGAGTCCTTAACTATCCATCATTCATTCAGGACTTCTTCTTCATAATTGAATTCTATTATTTCTGGTATACAGTGCTCATCATAAAGAAATGGGATCTTGATTTTCTATCACCATTCCCATACCATTGTTACTTCATACTTTTCAATAATGTCTTGATGTACACATTCCTTAAGTTTTGTACATTTTACATTTTGCATACTGTCAACTACAAATGTCTGGTCTCTTGAAAATTCTCTTCTTTTTAACATAGGAAATCCTCACTTTAGCAAATCAAGATGCCATTTATTTATGGTGAGCACTGTATTATAACTCATTCAATACATATTTTAGTTACTTTATAATATACTTGGAAATAATTCCCTAAGTTGATGGTGGACATTACTATGTGATCTAGCGTAACTTTTTTGGTGATACGAATCCTTTTCCTCATAAAAAATGATGCACCTTCAAATACTGACCGACATGAAGCATGACAATCCCAGGGGGGTTCACTGTATATGAATTTTGGCGGGGGTCCTAGGCAAACCCCTTAAATATCAATATATGTTCCGATAACAAACTGTAAAATTTCAATGTGTTCTAAATACTAACCAAAAAATGTCCAAAACCCATACCAAATACCTAAATATAGGATCAATGCCATACCAAATGTCCAGATATAAGACCAATGCCATACCAAATATCTAATAAATATAGGACCAATGCCATTCCAAATGTCAAAAGAAGTCCCTGAGCAGAAGGCAGATCTATGAGGAAAACGATCCAAAACAACCTCAAATTAGGATATATATAACTAGACATATACCATACCAGAAGTATGAGGTAACATATTTTCAACGACCATTCTCACACCAGAAAGTGGAAAAATCTGACCATTGCCATACCTCATAAGTCATAAGGTGGGGGCATTCTCATACCAGATCCTAAAATATCGGTCCATTGCCATACCAAATGTCAAAAAAGGTAACCCATGTGCATACATTGAACTCCCCGGGATGACTATTGATGGTACATAAATAGATCTGTTGCATGATTTGTACGACACAACAAGAAGAACGACATGACACTGGACAGGTTCACATGATACGGACTGGCAACATTCAATATATAAAAAATTACACACACTGACTGAGAGAACCATATAAGCTATACTTGGAGGCCTAATGTGAGATTTTGAAGATGAAAATCATAAAATTCTGTGAGTGAAGTTTGACCTACCTTTTCTAACTTTTCGAAGTATTCCCTGAGGAAGGTATGTGGGTTTCCAGGACGACTAACGCATAGTTGAACGATACATTCCTTCAAGATCTGCTGAATGTTATGCTCTTTAACGTAAGCTTCAACTTCTCGGAGGCTGTGCTCTTCTGACTTTACTTCAGTTGCCATTTTTTCTTTACCCATCTTCCTCAAGCCGAACTATATTTTGATGAGAAAATAATTATTCATCCGCCCTCAAAATGTAATGCGGTCTTACTCCAACCTATCATATAATCCACCTCATATCATTTGGCGGTTTCATCAATATCCCGTCAGTTTATGCCATCTTTGCAATTATTTCATATCCTTTGAATTATCAACTACAGAAACATATGCAAAAGACAGCAAATCAGCATGATCTAGCTATTTTGTTTGTTCGTATTTCTTCGTCAAAAAAACGGAAATGAACGAGTGAAAATCGCCAAATTCTAGAAATACAAAGAATTGTCCGAGTTTTTCTCAAATAATCGTAAGTATGCTCATATTTAACACATTACATTAGTGTGTGTCGTATCTATGGATATCAGTAAATAAGAAAGTATAAGGAAAATGCTTTTAACGAGAAGGATGCTGTGAATATTTGATAAATTCCACTCAACTTTTTTCAAACCTCTTCAGAAAAATCAAAAATGGTGGCACTGTGACTGTGTCTACTAAGTTTTTCTCCATCTAAAATGTCACTCGACTTTTTGGCAATTAAAAGTCCCTGCCTGCATTTAGTAGTCATATATTGTCATGTGCATAATTTTGAAACCATTATCCTAATTATTTCACAAACCCTTTGTTGATTCTGCCATAGTTTCCAATTTGTTTCAGGTGCGTCTATGCCGAATTCTTTTTTCGGTCGAGGTGGAAATTTTCTACACAAAATTGAAATGGGGGTTTTAGGTCTCGGGGTACTTATTAGTATAGTATGTATCCAACAGACTGAATGAGATTCAGTCTGTTATGATCACAGTCAGAGAGAATGTTCCGTCCGAAAGGAGATTCTGGGATTTCAAATTCTTGAAGTTGGGAAACCCGAATGAAAAAAATGAAGTTACTTTTTTATTCCCGAATCTCTCCGAAATTAGCTCATCTTGGTGACTGTAAATTGCACAGCTGTATTCAATGGAGTCTTGTCATATTCAATCAGCCTCAATTTTAAAGTGTATATTTTATTTTTAACGTGATTTCATCGTTTTTTGTCGACTGGTAAGAATCCGCTGGGCAAATGGCAAGATGGATGACTTTTGACCTGACCTTGACCGATGGCCGTGACGTCATCAATTTTATCTCGACGTTGATTGGTTAAATGATGATCGTTGGGGAAATTTGAATTCAGTTCTCGTAACCTCCCGTGACCTCCCGAATAGGTCACGTGACCTTGTGCCAGAAGTCCGACTTTTTTGTCAGTCGACCTGTTCAAAGTACATTTAGTAATAATTATCGCTTTTCAGAACAATTTAGGAAACAATATTTTCTATCTACGTCGATTACTATACAAAGCATCTAAGGTACTTAAATTTATATGAACAACTGAGTCAATAGGGATAAATAGCGAGAGTTAAATAGATAAATAGCAGTTTGTTTTGTAAAATGTATAAAAAATGAGAAAATTCAGTGAAAAAAATTTCTGAAAATTTTCTGATTTTTTTCGCTGAATCTTCTCGTTTTTTATACACTTTATCAAAACATCCTTCTCACAAGTCTTTTCTAGGCACATAAGTGCACTCTTTGTGCAAAACTGGAAGATATAGACAATGTGGGGAAGGAGTGATTCTTGTTTGAAAAATAACATGTGACTCAATTGAGGAATGCAGAAAATTTCCCATCATGCACCCTGACCTTAACCTCAAATACATGACCACTTGATCAGCTCTGGCTTCTTCATAAATATTCCCGTTCTATTTACTATATGATGAAATCGATTGGGATACTAATAATAAATAAATGACTAACAGTCAAACACTGAATTGTGAGAATTGTAATATGATATTCACTTCGACACAAATTGCATTTATAAATATGCTTCTGTAATGTTGCTCCGCCGCCTCACTACACAAATGCCAATCCTCTTTGCCATATATTGACCCGAAAGTCACATGTTGATATAAATTATAAAAGAATGGTAGTAACATATACGTAATAACTTACGAAAGAAGATGCTGGGGAGATCATAGCTTAATGATGTAGTCTAGGCCCTATATATTAATGTTCTCTTAAAAGCACATAGTTCGCCAAAGCCCCCTACCAGTCTAACCATAAAATCAGTCACACTCATCTTTCAGATACCCAACATGAATCCAGATGCTTGGGAAAAAGCTAAACAAGCTCTGAATGCATTAGCTGACAAAGAGCCTAGCACTAATAGTAATAATAATACTGATGGGGTGAGTGATAAACCAACAGAAGTGATGCTCAAACAACAGCAGCTTGGAGGCATCTACCCACAGTCTCAATTCAATGGATATGCTCCGTAAGTCTTACACTCAGAATTGATAGCTTTAATAACTTGTGTAGAGAAAACCACCATATTAGGCTATATTTAATACCCATCATCATGGATGCTACCAATTGTTTTTACTTTTTTGAAACCCAGCTTACAAATTACAGATTTTTCATCATTTATAATCCTGATTTCAGTTATGGTGGTCCACCTGGACCAATAGGACCAAGAATCCCTGCACCATATGGTATTGATACACACAGGCCTCCTCCTCCACCACGCGGCCAATGGGGACCACATTTCAGACAACAGTCGCCATTCAGAGTAAGTATTAATCTTTAGTATATCAGTGATCTTCCCAGCATTACAGCAAGTGAACGAATCACCCACCTGAAATGTCAAAACCACCTGAAAATTTGCACTTACTTGGAAATAAGAAAAATCATGAAAAATTGGCATATTTTGTTGTAGAAGCATGAATTGAAAAACATTAAATTATGTTTCAGTCATATGTTTACTTTTATTTACAATAAATATAATTCAATATATTTTGAAACTGTAGCCTCGTGGTCCCCCTATGTACAATGGATATGGTCCTATGCCCCCTGGACCACCACCCCCTGGACCAGATGATTTTGAAAACCACAACCAAGGAGGACCTCCTGGCTGGAATAAAAATAAACGTAAGTACAGCTGTACCATTCATGTCTATTGTATAATTGTGTACATGGTTCATGCTAGGCTTTTAGACTGTAGTACGGTGCCACAGTCTAATCAACTCTCAACATAGCCTATTCACGTTATATAATTATTTGGACGAAATCATGTAAACAAGCTAAGGAAAGATTTAGACTTATCGTGATTTAGTTTGTTGGGCGATAAAATAGAGTTACCGTATTCTCTGTTATTACCGCCCACTCTCTAATAAGCGCCCACCCCGCTTCACAAAGTTCAAGAAACATCGAGGAATCAACAAGAATTGAAGAATATATCAGGAAAAAAATATTTCTCAAAATCCAGGAGCGGGCGATAATAGAGTACTTACCCTAAAACTGCTGTAAACACGACGCGTTTTGTAATTCTATGCATCCTCTCGATACATATCTATCGATGGGTGCTTCCCACACCATACCATGCTAATATTGTCTCCAAATAGTCCATAATGAATGAAGGAATTGTTCTTTATCGGCATTCAGAAATTTCAAAAGCTACTGCGCAGATGTTCTGCGCATGTCAAGGTCGTGAACTTTCTGGTTTCTTTTTAATGTTTCTCGACTTTTACACGACTTTTGCACGAATAATGATGATCTCTCATCAAATTAGAAATAATGTATAACTTTAGATCGATATCCAGCAGTCTCTAGTGGAAATATTGAAGGTAATCGGCAATAATGACAAAGTGGGCGTGCCGGAAATAAATTAGACATAGACGGGTCTTCAACCACTGTCAATATTGTCTAATCGATCTTTACCGTATTCTCTCCAATAACAGCACTTGTCATATTATTATAAAAATATGTTGAAGAAAATGCATTCTTGTCAAGAAAAATTGCCATACATGAAATTCCTCTGGATTTCTGATTTCTTTCATACATGGGCGCTTATTAGAATGGTCTAAATAATGTATTTTCAATTTTCTAAACGCCCTGGGCGCTAATTACAGAGAATACGGTACCTCTTTTTACCCAAAGTTCTAAATATTATGACATGGCCTCCCTGAGATCAACCATGTTAATCGAGATAGGTTATTATGATCGTCAGATGTCTGATTTTTCCAAAGTGTCCAACTCATTAATATCAACCTTATTTTTGTTTTCATAGAGCATCCAAATAGTGCTGGCATCAGATTCAGTTTACCATCAAAACGACCAGTTCAATCTACCAATGCAATAGAAGAGTATGGTCAGAATCAGACTCAGAAGAAGCCTAACCAGAAACCCCCACAACCACCCAAGCCCACTCCATATAAACCTGGGGAGAATGATGATGAAGATGATGATACTGGTCCTTCAGCTAAACAATCTGAACAGAAAAGAAATGATGAAGATACTGCTAATGCAATGGCACAGCCATGGTCTGATAGTTTAAAGTAAGCTCTTATACATTTCACTCCAAACTGCTAGGTTTCCCAAAAATTGACCACAAAATTCTTAGTAGCGTAAACATGTTGACCATTTTCCCCAAAAAACAATTTATGGTGCATTTGTGTTGAGAATTGAGCTATGAATCTTATATTATACTGTATATGTATTCACAAATTATTAGTATTGATAAAGGATAGAATACAATATAACACAATATGATGTGTCTTGATATCCACTGCAATCAGGTGTTTACATTTATATAAAATGTATTTCTATTTCAGGCGTTATGTTTCCCGTTGTTTTGCTGGAGCGACCAATGATAAGCAGAAAGATATAATAGAGAAGCTTCTTAAAGACAAATTAACTCAGATATTTAAAGATGGAACATCGGAGACTGTTAACTGGGACCTTCAGCCACTGCTTTTGTAAGTCTCACATATATTTATTTTATTGACAATAGTATCAAAGCATGTGTAAACTATTTGTAAACTAAGAAACTGATCAAACAAAAAACTATGAAAATACATGGATAAAATAAATCTTCAATTAAGAGAGAAGTAGAACAAATCATGTTTAAATATATGCACTCTGGATTTAATGTTCTTTTGAGGACCATCTGGAAATCAGCTGGCCATATTGGATGTTCTTAACCTGATATCTGCAACTGTATTGTTGTTATAGTTGGTTCTCTTATTTTCACCACATGTTTTCTTGTTCTATCTTCCAGTGGTGGCAAACAAATATCACAACCCCAGCAGCCAATGGAATTCACACCTGGTCCAGGTCTTGGGCGTGGATTGAGTCCCCAGGGACGAGGTCTGGGATCAGGTCGAGGACGAGGAAGACGTGGTCGAGGAAGGTGGGAAGACGGAGACAATCCCAATTTTATGCCTTTCAATAATCGCTTCAATCCATCACCTAGACGATCAAGAACCCCACCCTCTCGAAGCAGAAGAGATAGACATCGTAGAAGCAGGTCACGGTCTGATTCAAGGTCGCGATCCAGGTCAAGGTCACCATACAGAAGGAGAGAGAGACATAGGAGTAGAAGATACAGTGAAAGGTAAACAACAGTGATATCTTTTGTTATGTCATCGGTTGTAATCACTTCATGTCCTTGTACTAAGTACTCATATCCTCATGTGCATTTGATACCTTGTTGAAAATATGTAACAAAACATCAAGATTACTTAAAAATACTTTTTCTATGGTGTCACTATAACATCATAAACATTATAAGACAAGACTTTGTTTTAGTGTGAACCTTTTTGATTTGATAAATGCTTTACAGTAGTAGCAGTAGCAGCGATAATTCAGAGATATCTAGGAATTCTCATGCCTCACATGATTCTGATCGCAAACGATCTCGCAATAATGAACGCCACAAGCCAGATTGGCATGATAAACAGAAGGGGCGTGGTCGTGGAAGAGGGAGGGGTCGAGGTAGAGGAGACACCCCTAAAGAGAAAGGTGACAACCCTAATTATATCCCTCTGGGAACTGGCAATGAGAGTAATAACCTGAAGAATAGACTTGGAAAGAAGAAGAAAAATAAAAAAGGGTGAGTGAGAGTAGTGTTATTCAAAAAGTTTTGAGAAGTTTCTTAGCAAAATTTGAACAATTCTAATATATTGCTTTGACATCACTGTACTCTACATGGGTTTGTTTCAACACTAATTTTAAAATGTGAAAGTAATGAAAAATGTGTGTGTATGTTCCAGAGAAGACCTTATAATGTATGTAGATGATGTAGACAAGGCAGCTAAACTTCAGTCCAGAATGGCGCGGTTTGGGGACCAACTGGGCTCTAACTCAAGGACACCAAAAATTAACATTAACAACTATAATGTAAGTTTAGATTCTCTTGAACAGTTGGCCATGAATATTTTGAGATATTGAGATATAATACACAATTTTAATATAGGGGTGGGCGAGAATCCAAAATTATGTTTAGTAAAAATGACACTGTTGCTGTAGTTCACATTTGTGTCATCTGGAGCTTATTATGGTTTTGATGCTCAGGCAAATAGATTAGCTAATGAAGTAATATAATGTTGGATAAGACCCCTTTCCCTCTTCGACTGTCATTCAGTTTTACTCAACTTCCCAATACGAAATGACCTTCACCTATGAATGATAATATGCTGATTTTTTCAGTCCACATAATGAACTTAAAAACAAATGTTGGATTGATATTTTGATATTCTATATTGTATTGTAGGATGAGGACTCTATGGATGTCGACTATGGGGACTTTTTTGACATTGTGGGAACATGTACAGATCTTGAAAAGAGATATCTCCGTCTAACAGCAGTAAGTATACCACTTAATCACTACAGTTTTTGTAGTGCTTAATCACTACAGTTTTCGTAGTGCTGTAAAGCCATTCTGATTGACCATATTCATATATTTGTTTGTATACTTCAGTTGTATATCTCTGTGTAATAGAACTCATTTGATGAATCTATATGGTATTTACTTCTTATCTCATTTTTGAATGAGATAAGAATTCCTCAGTTCATCTCTGTTCAGTCTATACCTTTTTAAAGCGTTATACATATATTCTTCCTATTTTCACACTCCAGTCCCTTGAAAATCACTATTTGGCCTATAGATAACCTTTACTAAAGTATTTTTAATTTTTTGCCCCATTAAGGCACCAGATCCATCCACTGTACGACCTGTTGATATTCTACGGAAGTCCCTAGTGATGGTACAGACCCATTGGAAACAAAATGGCAACTACCACTATGCTTGCGAGCAACTGAAGGCTATAAGGCAGGATCTTACTGTGCAATGTATAAGGAATGACTTTACTATAGAGGTCTATGAGGTGCATGCTAGAATTGCCCTGGAAAAGGTACGAATCTCAAAGTTCATGTCACCACTAAGAAGTGATAATGGCATATTGTCATACACATCATTTTTTGTGACAGGTGTTAGTCAACGTTCAATGGCTATGACAAATGGTTACATTTTTTCATTGCAACCAGGGGTTGACATTTTGTCAGTGTTTATGCATTAATAATTTTTATTTGTTAATAAAATATGTGAAGATAGTAGAGAAGAGGCTTATGAAACACAATTATTCAGTTTATATTAAGGTTAGGAGCCCCCTAGAGGCTTATTTTGAATGTATGAAATGGGAAATTACTGAGTTTCATCGATCTAAAGAAAATGAAACAATATTCTTGTTATGAGAGTCTTATGAAATACAACATGCTAACTCGTTACAGGGTGATCTTCCAGTTTGTAACATATTGATGCATATTGTACTACCATATTTACAGGGCGACCATGAGGAATACAACCAGTGCCAAACACAGCTTAAATGTCTATACATGGATGAGGGGAGGAACAGGAAACACATGCATGAGTTTATAGCTTATAGAATACTCTACTATATATTCACTAAAAATACACTAGGTGAGATGAAAATCAATTTGTATTAACATTAATTATCATACATGGGTAAGTAATACCATAAAATTGTTTCACGAATTGCAATGTTTTTTTAAAGGAATGAAAATAATAAGTAATCCATCACGTAATGATAATGATAATAATATTCACGTATTTGCAAATATTGAGAATAAACACTGAACCATGTGATATATCAAATTATCATCTGGTTTTGTTCATTATTATTATTTTGACATTATTCCAGACCTGACCACAGTTCTTGCATCTTTAACTCCGGAGATGAAAGAACATGAATGTGTCGCCCATGCTTTGAAACTACGTTCAGCCTGGGGCTTAGGGAATTACCACAAGTTCTTCAAGCTCTACAACAATGCCCCTCTTATGGCAGGTTTCCTCATTGACTGGTTTGTTGATAGGGAAAGGAAACAGGCCCTTAAACTTATTGTCAAGTCGTATGTATATCTTTTTGATCTCTCATTTTATTATTCTATTATATATAAATTTTTATGGAATTGTAAATTTAATATTAAATCAGTTTTGGTCACACATTTGATAATAATATCTATTGGGTAACTGTATATTCATTAAATATATTAATTAGATGTTTCATTCATAATTGTTTTTTATGCACATAATGTTGATTTAAATATTAAACGCCTAATAAATGCTCGTCACTTTAAACAAAACTGGCCATGTTTTGTCTCGGGTGATGTGAAATTTTAGGTTATTCTCATGAAATTTTACAGAAACTTATCCCTCAATTTTGGCAGGTAGAGTATTGTGATACATTTATATCCATTTATTGAATGTGATAATGATTAACTGTATTATAATGATTGTTTTGCATAAATGTGTGAAGAAATATGCTTGAATAATGATCCTCTATTGAGGAATAAATGGAATTCAATATTATATGTTTAACATGTTGTTTTTTCTGCTCAGATTCCGTCCATCTTTGTCAGTTGATGAGCTCCAGCGCACATTGGGCTTCTCAGACGCTGAATTATGTAAGACGTTCCTCAAGGAGCAAAATGTTGTCTTCACTCCCTCAGATAATAACAAGGTCGATTGTAAAGCCAGTATGTCCACAGTGGGGACAGCATAGTCCTCTTGTGGTATACATCGACCTTTTGTGTCTTCATATCCCAAAGGCCAGTATTTCCATATGTAGTCCAAGAATCATCTTCTCTCACAAGCCATGGTGTATCGGAAGCAATGGTAGTCATTTGCAGGCCATAATGTTTGGATGTAAACATCACATATTCTTCTTCAAAAAGCTCCTTCCAATCATCTCCAGTCTGTAATCATGTCTTAAGTGCCATCAAAGACTTATCTTTATGTGGTAGTAAAAGTGATGTCTTTTCAACCTTGATCTCCAAAGTTCAAGATGCACTGGGTTATTATGCAGTTGAATCTTTTGTACCATTCCAATAAAATCGATATAAACAATTTAGTAAATCTGCCATTATACGGATCATAGACACTTGATCTGAGGAAATTTGAAAATCAATGGAGTGATACGTTCTCTGGATCTAAACTTTACAAAAGCTGCTGAGTAAGCATTTAATTTAACAGGACTAAATACGACAAGGGACGTTGGAAAAGTATAGGACTCTCCACTAATTATTACAGACTATAGGAAATCAAAAAATCAACTGAATTTTATAGGGAGTAAATAAGAGTAAGTAATTCGACCGTTGAATCAAATAAAATATCTGAGAGATTGAAAATGGACTGATATCGACAACAAATGGACATGTGATATTTATTTATTTAAAAGTAAGCTGGAGATGCATGTTATACATAAAGGATATGAAGGTGAAGAACATTGAGATAGAATATTAATTGGATTAGGAAATTTTGAAAATGCCGAAAGAATATTTGACATTAAATCTTGAGAATACCTCAATAATGTTGACATTAAATAGGTCAGATAAGTGTATGTTGATTTTCAACTTCAGAGGAAATGATGTTAAATGATATTTATTTATGAACTCAATCATTCAAGAAATAATCACAATCATATCAAATGAAGTCCAATTGGAAAACTAATTCAGCGATTTTTGATGAAATACACACATCAAGTACAGAATCAAAGCACCAAAAGATTGGAAGTCCTCAAGGAAGAGAATTGGAAATAAGTTAAAGTACAAAAGAAGGAATACCCATTTACGAAAGTGAAGTTGATCTCATCATCATGATGTCTCATCTCGTTATAATGATGTCATCTCTACCTTTGAATCAGTTTGCTGATGTCTAGTCTCGTTATAATGATGTCATCACTACCTTTATATCGGTTTGCTGATTCTCTACATTGAGTCAACTATAGTCCTTAGAGAAAGTTTTCACCTCATGTAAAGTGCTTTACAATATTTCTTTGAATCAATCAATGTCATCTATCTTCCTAAGTTCTCTGTTCTGCCCTGTTGTAAATGATGTCTGGTCTCTATAGCAATTTGAGACACAAGAAGAGTAAAATCCAACCTTGGTCCTGGTTCAGCTTTTAACCGTCTTGATAGAGAAAGATTGATCTCCCAAGAGAGGCGTTGAGTTGATGTACCACCCCCATCCCAGTCAAAGGTCTCAAGGTTCAAGAAGGAAGAGGTTTTACGGATGTATCCGCTTCCTCTACCAAAAAGTCTCTTTCGATTCAAGAAGAGAAAGGTTTCAATGACGCCATTCTTCCCCTATTTTTGCCTCTCATGATACAAGAAGAGAGAGATCATTGATGCCCCCCTCCCCTACTGGTGCCTCTCATGATACAAGAGAGAGGTTATTGATGCCCCCCTACTCGTGCCTCTCATGATACAAGAAGAGAGAGGTTTTATTGATGTCTCTCCCCTACTGGTGCCTCTCATGATACAAGAGAGAGGTCATTGATGCCCCCTACCCCTACTGCTGCCTCTCATGATACAAGAAGAGAGAGGTTATTGATGCCCCACTCCCCCAACTGGTGCCTCTCATGATACAAGAAGAGAGAGGCCATTGATGCCCCCCTACTCGTGCTTCTCATGATACAAGAGAGAGGTCATTGATGCCCCCTACCCCTACTGGTGCCTCTCATGATACCAGAGAGAGGTCATTGATGCCACCCTCCTCCTTCTGCTGCCTCTCATGATACAAGAAGAGAGAGGTCATTTATGCCCCCCCCCCTACTCGTGCCTCTCATGATACAAGAAGAGAGAGGTTATTGATGCCCCCCTCCCCTACTGGTGCCTCTCATGATACAAGAGAGAGGTCATTGATGCCCCCTACCCCTACTGCTGCCTCTCATGATACAAGAAGAGAGAGGTTATTGATGCCCCACTCCCCCAACTGCTGCCTCTCATGATACAAGAAGAGAGAGGTTATTGATGCCCCACTCCCCCAACTGGTGCCTCTCATGATACAAGAAGAGAGAGGTCATTGATGCCCCCCTACTCGTGCTTCTCATGATACAAGAAGAGAGAGGTCATTGATGCCCCCCTACTCGTGCCTCTCATGATACAAGAAGAGAGAGGTCCTTGATGCCCCCCTCCTACTGCTGCCTCTCATGATACAAGAAGAGAGAGGTCATTGATGCCCCCCTCCCCTACTGGTGCCTCTCATGATACAAGAAGAGAGAGGTCATTGATGCCCCCCCCCCCCCTACTCGTGCCTCTCATGATATAAGAAGAGAGAGGTTATTGATGCCCCCCTACTCGTGCCTCTCATGATACAAGAAGAGAGAGGTTATTGATGCCCCCACTACTCGTGCCTCTCATGATACAAGAAGAGAGAGGTCCCATTGATGCCCCTCCCCCCCTCCCTTACTGCTACTGGTGCCTCTCAAGATACAAGAAGAAGAAGATTGAGTTGATGTATGGATGCCCTCTGATGATGTAGGAGATTGCAAACACAGAGCAGTCACACTTCTCTCTCAGGTTTGATCTTTGGTTCCTTGTAAGGAAGGGGAACATATATTGATTCCCCTTGTTCTCCACTTTCCACCTCTCAGCAGATGTCCCCATTAAGGAGTGGTCTGCGATTCTGTTGAGAATGCAAAAGCAATCAATTTAAAGTATACATCTCATGTCTTTCTCTATTCAAATGAAGGCTCTTATGTTACAAGAAGAAAGAGCTTTCTGTTCAAAAGACATGTTTGGTACAGATGATGCTGTGACATCTGATGACGATATGACGACTGATGCTGCTGTGACGATTATGACGACTGGTGATGCCCTCCCTGATGACTGATGCCTTCCAATTGATGATACCCTGCTATTGAGATACCCTTCGTGATGATACTGTTTAATAAGCCACCAAGAAGATTCCTCGTGTAACCTTTCCATATGATGTCCCTGTAGATGATGCCCCCTCATATGACTTCCATCAAATGATGCCCTCAAAGATGTTGCCACATGGCTTTCTCCTCTTCGGTGTACTCTTGAATTGGTTGCTTTTGCATAGGATTTAGAATCGCATGACCAGCGTGATGACCTGACGCCCTGCTCAACATGATGACCCGTATGATGATTGAATACCCAGCTCAACATGGTAATGTTCCTGTCTGATGTACCATTCTACCATCCACCTCTAGGAATAGGAGTTCAACTTGTATCCAGAATAGATGTGGTAAGATAAAGCTGCTCTCCTAACTTGTACAGCTGTTTCAGCAAGTTCTACAGCTGCACTGTAAATTGACAATATCTTTAGTGAACACCTCAGTATAAATCTGACTCTCACCAATGATAAAGGAATATTATTTGGAAGTGATCTTAGGCAGATTCAATAAGAAGCATTTATAGCATCTATCTGGAAGATTTGAACAATGACTGATAATTCTTGAGAAACCCCGATGTCTGCATCACTTGGAAATTACAACCTCATAATTTACAAATATAGACCTTAGATTCAGAATCCTGCGTGTCTAGCTTTGGAATTAACATGAAGTCCTCCACATGAGGTAAATGATATTTATCTAGGAATTCAAAACTAATTACAGTTTATGGACATGTAGGACAGCCATCTTACGCATAAGTACTATTATTGGAGCAGAACAGCCTAAATGCCTTATAGACTACTAAACGAATCAAAGTGATATCAAGTGGAGCAGCTTCATCTCCAAGAATTGTGGGGTCCCAGTTCAGCAATGTCCCATTTATCTTCAACCTTTCTCCCCTTTGAATAATGGATGATTCTGTTCATCTGCAAGGAGGATTGGCTCCCAGAATGCAACACCGATATTCTGCAAAACAATCACCTAGCGATAGCTTTGTTGGAGAGTATCGGGTCATTCTCCATGCAGTCGTACAAATTATACAGACACGAATAGCAAATGACGCATGCGTGGAGATTAAAGAATATCGAGTTGGAACCCTGGCTTCCAATCCTCCTTGGTTCATCTGGCATGAAATGGACAGGCCCATTATTCTTAAGGTAGAAAGGTTGAGGAACAATGGAGGCATATGGTAAGCTTTAAGCATATGTTGAGAAATATTTATATGCCAATTTTCATCCTCTGATTTGTTCATCATTTAAGTACTTTAGCAATCTCAACATATTGTTAAATGTGTCATTATTATTTACAGCAACATTCTTAAGAAAGCACTAGGGGTTTCATTTAGAGAAATACTTAAATGATTTCAATTATTAACTATAAATAATACAGTATATTGTACTGGATTTAACCAGTGAGGATTCATAATAATTATTGTCTTTTGTCCACCCTTTTCTTTTAAAAATATTGTCATTTATATTACATTGTTCTTTTTGTTTTTGGTGTTTTCAAGCAACTAGAAAATATTTGAAGTACAGGGTGACACAAAAACACCACCCATTAATTTTGAAATAACTCTCTTGAAATAATTAATGAATCTTCGTGATTTTTTATGTGTAGATAGAGTGTTCAATGGAAAAAAAGATTGGTATGCTTGCATAGCATCAACAACTAGGAAATTAAGAGATCTCATTTTCCATTTAGGCATGCTCTGACTCAAAATCACTCAAAACTGTAAATTAGAAAGTTTTTCTTTCTTTAAATTTACCCAATAAGCGAGTCAGTTCATCAAATTTGTCAAAATTATTTAAGAACATTTTTTGATGTATCTCTAAATCTGAAAGTTGTTGATGCTATCCAAGTACAACAATCTTTTTTTCCATTGAACACTCTATCTACACAAAAACATGTAGATTTCTTTATTATTGAGAAAGGTTATCCATAATTAGTGGGTGGAATTTTTGTGTCACCCTGAACATACCAGTCAATGGATTTTTCACACACCAGGGAAGATTTTCAGAATAACGTCTTGTGTCTATAACATTTTTTATTTCATAACTCTAAAAGTGTTTTTTTTTCAATTTACAGTATTCACATTCTCTATGTTCATTATTTTCTTACTGTTCATCCATGTAAACAAACAAACATGTCTCTACATACACTACAATTAGGGATCCCAAAATACATTGTCCAGTGATTCAATGTATTTAAATGCTTTGATGTAAGTGGGGTCTCTAAAGCACAACAAAAGCATGAAAAGTTGATCTTCAAAATGCAAGGCTAAGAACTGAGAGACAATTACATATAAGTTAGATATTGTAGCCTGTATCAGGGGTCTGATACATTAGAAATTTTAAATTCAACTGCTAGCTCAGGGATTAATTGCTATTTTTATGGCCAAATAATTTAAATATAAATAGTACCTGCTACTATTCATATTTAAATGAGCCCTAAAATAGTGGTTAATTTGTCAGCTGACAGCCAGTGACTGAATTCATGAATGCTATCTTCGTGAAAGAATGTCCTGTTGAGCTCATGTGATGCTCCAGGACATCGTTTGGTATTTGATGCTCCACAACACTATGCTATTTGCTATGTTTAATGTAGGCTAATTATCAATCTTTATACATATTTTATCCTTAACAATATCAAATCCTCTCAATAGTTCATGAAACTATTTTATAATTTCATTATGGAACACTGTAAGAGCCAATACGGACACAGGTCTACTGTGTATTAATAATAGAATGCCTTATAAGGTTTTCATGTGTCATATACATTGTATATAAAATTGCAGTATTTGTATGCTTGTAAACATGTAAATATATGTTGATGTCTATGAGAAAGTAGAAAATAGAAATATAAAAAATATAATTCTACATAGATCTTATTTTGTTTGTGAGGTTGCGGAAGAGAACAGAAAATTACAGGTGTATACAAATAGCTTAAATGGCCTCTTATATGCCCCTTTCTCCCATTCTTGAATTGTAATATAAATTCCCCCTTGTAAGTCTACATTCTAGTAACCAGAAGTCCCCTTTAGGATGATCAATCACTGTTTATGTTTGGCAGTTTTGAAAATAAATTCTGAATATTGTTATGAAGGAACAAAAAGATCTACTGTAAATTGCTTTGATTTGATGGCCATTTTAATTTGGCAAATTGATGACAACCACCAAATTAAGCCCCCGCCATTTTTTGAATAAATCCCAGATGATTCCCAGGCGAAGATTTTTCATCCTGTGATCCATCCTTGTGTGACCTTGCAGGATAAAAAGATTTGAAAAAAACACTAAAATTACAATATTGAAGTATTTATGAAGATCTACAGATACACTAATATTAAATAGCAGCCAAAATTT